CTATCTCTATCTCTATCTCTATCTCTATCTCTATCTCTATCTCTATCTCTATCTCTATCTTGCTCTATCTGTCTGTCTGTCTGTCTGTCATCTACCTGTTTCTCTTTCTTACTGGAACTTCTTTGCCAGTCCAGTCATACCAGCTCTGATCCATTTGCCTTTGTGAAGCCAGGTCACCAAATGTGGGGAAAACCTTTTGGAGCTCTTCACTTTCCTCGCAGGAAGCTGCTCCAGCCAATGACTCTTTTTGGTTGTCCTTTTCACACCTCTTCCATCTCTAAAATATTCCTCTTAAGGCACAGAGACCATAATCTACCCATATCATGGCACTATTAAATTAACATTTCCATTTTCAATTCCGTTCTTAAAGATTCCAATCACACAACAGTTGCATCTTGAACAGTGTTTCATCAACAAGCAAACCCTTCAACTAGCTTTCCCCAAGGTGGTGCCCTCCTACACGTTGACTTCCACATCCCAGAATGTCTGCTGCCAGGACCTTCAATGGTGTTAATGTCATGCATTAAAAAATAAGGGTGTTCCTCCTTGGGTAGGGATCAACTTCCCTTGTCTAGTGGTTATCTCTATCTGACATGAAAGTCATGGGCATTCTATTTGCTAAAATCATTGCTCCCCTAATTATTGGAAGACAGCTGTTTTTGTAAAAGAAATGGCCGTAACCTCTGGAAGAGCATTCTGCTCCCACCAAAGCAAGACTGTGCCATAGCAAAAGGACTGATTCTTGGCAGAGCCACCTAGAATATACTGAACAGTAGGAATTTCTTTTTCCTATGTGATTACCGATCTAGTTTCTTTCCCTAACAACAAAGTCTCAGCTTTTTTTTTTTTTTTAAATCAGGGTAGTTTTCTCTTCTCTATACAAGTTTCTTTGTTTGCTCAAAGTTCCATTAAAAAAAAAAGACGGCAAATTTCATTTCATTGTTTACCCTTGCGACTTGTAACCTTGCCTTCTGCTGCTAGCGTTCAGCTGATAGGAAGTGATAATAGGATTGCAAACTTTTGAAGTTAATAAGGAAAAGATTGCACAGCTGTGTATTAGAAGAAAGCCTTAAGCCTCCTCCTGGTGTGACTAGTGTAGGATCACAGAACGAGGCATCCTGAGTTGGGGAAGTAATGATTAAAGTGGTGTGAAATTCACAGTGTCACTAACATCTTAAGAAACCATGACATTTTCAGGGGAGGGAGGGACAGGAGGAGAGAGAAAATTTGAAGAGGGGTTGCAAGTATTTCCCCCTCCCAAAATAGGCTCTGGGTTTCAGATTCCCTGTGTTGTCATCAAAAATACAAAAAGCTGTGATTGATTTCAAGTTTCTTTGACAGCTGGGAATCTTTCAATAATCTTGTGATTTACTTCCTTTGTGGCTAAGCCTAGGCTTGGGTCAAAAGGGAAAAAAAGTCAAATCTTTTGATTTGTGTTTGATATGTATATATTTGCTTGCTAAAAATTCATCAAAATTGTTTTAGGCAATGTCTTTTTAAAAAAATGATGGCTTATCCCTTCCACTATTTTTTCCTGAAGAGTTGCAGTTATACAGTGTGTATAATGCTTCCTAGAAGATGTGTGTATGGCTGTTTGGTTTCAGTTTTAGTGTGTCTTTTTTTTTTCTTATTTACATGTTGCACTTTCCAACATCTTGCAATGATCTATAGCTGATGCTTTGATTGATGGATTATATGCCATCAAGTCGTTTTCAACTCTTATTGACCACATAGATAGATTTTCTCCATCTGTCCCCAGCCTGGTCCTTCAGGCCTTCCAATGGTACCCCCATCACCACTGAAACTGAGTCCATCCCCCTGGCTGCTGGTCATCCTCTTTTTCTCTTTCCTTCCACCTTTCCCAGCATTAGAGCCTTCTCTAGGGAGCTGGGTCTTTGCTTAATGTGTCCAAAGTAGGATAATTTGGTCATCTGTACCTTGAGTGAAAACTCTGAATTGATTTGTTTGATGATCCATTTATTTGTTTTCTTAGCTGTCCACAGTATTTCTCTAATGGCAAAGTTGAAAAGCATCAATACTCTTCCTATCCTGCCTCTTCAAAGCCCAACTTTCGCTTCCGTAGACGGTCACAGGGAATACTATTGCTTGCTTTAGGCCTTTATAAATCCCTCACCTTCCTAGGCTGGATATAGACCTTCATTTAATCTTCCACTATGCCCTTGACTTTATTTCCTGCAGCATCTCTGACTTACCATTGTTCTGGGTCAGAGCAGAGATTCCACCGAAGGACATATTATTTAGAGAAGGACCCAGCTGGCAATTCACTTTGGACTTTTTAATAAAAATTAGCATTTAAAAAAAAAATCAAAACAGCTTCTGTGTCTCAATACTTATTGGTGAGAAATTAGTGTAATTTGCATTTGAATGAAAACTTATCTAATTTCAGCTTTTTGCATCAAAATTCCCAAACTAAAACCTAATTATCATTTTAAATTCCCAGTTCTCCAAATGTGCCAGGTTACAAGAGCATTTGAGAAAAAGGAAAAAGGCTTGTTAGGGAAAATTGTTTGCAAAAGAAAAAAAAGGCAAACAAAATGTGTATATCTGGGGGAAGTGCAGTAATATGGATACAGATTTTAGTACAGTTTTGAAAATGTCCTCAATTTCAACCAAAAAGGCATACATTTGCAAAAACGAGAAACCTAAATTAAAAGATTTGTCAACCTTTAATATTGATGAATATAATGACATAAATCTGGCAGATTAAGGTTTCCTTCTAAATCTTGCATTCTGGACGATACCTTGGAATGGAGAGTTTTGAATTGTGTCTGGGCAGATGGGCACGCAAGAGTGCAAATGTTTAGAATTCCCCAATTCATTGTTTTTTCCTCATTTCTACAAAGGTTTAGATCAAAGTTATTCATCCTTCCCAATTTCTTCCCACATTCTTTTAGATCAAACTGAAAGACATCTTCGAAACCCCCACAGAGATCACACTTATCCTTGAGCTGGTGACAGGTGGTGAGCTGTTTGACAGGTAACACAGGAGAAACCTTTGCTTAATTGGCAGACTCTTAATTAAAGGTGACTAATTGAACAAAGGAAAGGAGAGTAATTTGTTGCCATGGGGAAAAGATGTGTTTGGGACACAGAAAGGGCGACTGGTTAATCCACAGCCATCAGTGTCAGAGTCTCTGGGCTGAAATCTTCCTTACCATCTCTTCCACCCTGTTCCCTTCTGGCTTCAGTTCTGGCTGAAAATGGAGGTAGTTGAGTTAATTCCTTAGAACTGATGGGAACAAATGTGCCTGCAGGCTACCTGCACCAGCCAGCCTTCCTAATTGACCTTACTTTAATTTGTTCAGATTGTTTTCGTTCTTTACAAACAGAGCTAAATGGGAAGCCGGCCAATTGCAAAGGGAAATGAGAGATTCCAGCATTGTCTATGTTTTCAAATAGCTTGCAGCTTCACCTACAACCTAGAGGCCTTCTTGGGAAATAAATACAATGGGTGGCTGTGACCCACCAGGACAGGGGATTAATCATGATGTTTGAGAATAGCCATTGCAAACCAGGCATGAAATGAAGGTATGAAACAGATGGCATTAAGAGGAACAGCTCTGTGGAAAAAAAGGCCAAGTCACTGGCTAATTTTATGAGAAGTCAGATAAAACCTCCTTTTCCATTAATATCTAGTCATTACTAGAGATTATGAATAACTAGCAACAGCAATTGCTAGGAAATACAAGTAAGGAAAGGATTTTTCCTTCGTGCCTGATCTTGGCTGATTTTGAAAAGCTAACCAGGATCAAGCCTGGTTAGCTCTTGGATAGGACACCAGCAGGAAATCAGGGCTGTAGGGCAGACTGGGAAGTTGAAAAAGTATCCTGCCAAGCAAATCATTTCTTTGCTAAGAAAATTGTATGGCTCTGGGCCTGAGGTCCCCAGGAGTTCAAGGAGTTCCATTTAACTTGAGGGGGTCTTTCTCTTTCAGGCACTGGGGATTTTTTTCCCTCTGTTCCAAAATGTGTGGTGCTGTTAGACCTTTGAGGTACTCCACACAAGAAACACCAACCATGAGTCCTAACTCTACCTTTACTGTAAGGTTCCATTAACAGAATCTTGCAAGTCTGAAAGTATTCCTCCCCTCCTTTCCTTTTACTCCAGAAAACTAGGGAGGGTCCCCTCTGAGATGCTTCGCATGCCTCCTCTCTTTCTGTGGGCTGAGATACCTTTTACACACCGGTTGTCCAGCCTGCGGCTCTCCCTCCTGTCTCCCAGGGTCATTCCCACAGATCATTACAGATGCCCACAAGTTAAGAGGGCTACCAAATCTGGGCTGCAATACTTTGGGTGAACATTAGATGGTAGTGAAGAGACACAGAAAGCTCTAACCCTTGGCTGCCCTCTAGTGATCCCCTGAATTTCTGCAGCCTTCTTTTGCTAGCCCTAGCAAGACAAACCTTTCGTTCCCCCCTTCTTTTATTTATTTATTTATTTATTTATTTATTTATTTATTTATTTATTTATTTACCAAATTTGTCACTGCCCATCTCGTTAAAAAGCAACTGGGCGGTTTACAGAGGAGATAAAATCAATTAAAATACAATATAAAAACAGTCATAAATAAATAATACATAAATTCCAAGAATGATGGGATTGGCAAATGGTTCAGGGGCGCCAGCCACCCTCAGGATTGATTAAAACTCTTTATCACCCCATGCAAGCTGGCAGAGCCAGGTCTTTAACCCTTTCCAGAAAACCAGGAGGGTAGGGGCCCGTTGCACTGCTGGGGGGAGAATATGCCAAAGGGCAAGGGCAATGAGAGAGAAGGCTCTCCTCCCGGGCCCCGCCAGCCGACATTCTCTCGCTGACGGGGTCCGCAACATGCCCTCTCTGCCTGTCTGGGGGGGGCGGGCTGATGGAATGGGGGGGAG